AGTGGCTAGAAATCTCGCTATAACCAACACTGCTCTTTCCATCATGAGTACGTTTTGATCTTGCGCGGAGGTAAAACTCAAGTGGTGGACAAACTTGTTTCATGCGAATGTCCGCGGTCGTAGTTATGTTTCGCTAGGGTCGAGGAGAGGAGGCACCGCTGTAAAGTATCGTAAACTGTAGAGCTACGTAATAAAGTTTGGGTAATTTTTCGATTTCTTTTGATATGTCGACGTTATACTGCGCAGTTGATTACAATTGGAACATGCCCTGTTACACTGCGTAATCCATGACAGGGTAGGAATCTAACTGTTCGTGGAACTTTAGTATTTTGTATAAATAACTATCACATTGACACACTGGCAAGTGTAGTCATTCATTATGGCTGACGTAATTTGATTATTATGACAGCAAATTTTTTCTTGTTAGGCTTATTGTAGTATCCTAAAGTAAGCAAGATTACTCTGGAACAAAGAGACTGGCGCGAAGAGCACTTCCTGATTAGCGGACTCAATTCTCGCAAGAATTGAGAACCGCAGAAATGATCGGTACACCTGGCCGGTGCTCTGTTCTGCCATGCTTGGGCAATCTTCACTCACACAATGTGTTCAGCAGCAGTTAGTATATTGGAGGAATCTGTTCTCACTATGTGCTGCCACCCGTCTGACATTGTTTGTACTACATTAGTAAAACAGAATTCGTTGGGTAATACTAACGCAAGTTGCGCCGGTATTTGTCTGAAGGTACTGAGCTGCCAAGTGTGTCTACGGTGAGTCTTCCCTTGAGCGATGTGTCGAAATGGTCGATTGGAGGTCTAAATGACCACTTTCAGAGGCAGTTGATCTGCATCAGCAATCATGGAGTAGCCTTAACCTAACAAATTTCTTTCAGTCATTTATTAGAAAATTCCAACCTGAACTGCCGCAAAAAAGCGTCGGAAAGAGACATGCAAATGAACCGTAATGAAATGACTCGATTGAAATCGAGTTTGATGTCGCCACACAAAATGAAACTGGCAAGTTTACGCAACTCTACAGTTCACGGAATCATGCATTGCCTACCCTCCCCCTGACCCGAAAATCGTTAGCTTAATATGGGAATTGTGCGAAGTATTCCTTCACTCACAAGCAGCGGCGTCCCCCCCCCTCCCCCCCTTTCAATTTGATGTTCTACGCCTTCCCCCCCCTTACGATATCGTAGCTTTGTTGCAAGGGTGGAAGATGTTACTATTTCGCAGGCTTCGAAAATACTCTGCGACGAAGGATGGCGCCACCCGCTTGCGAAGAGTTTGCCGCCCCCGCTGGGCGTTTTATACTTATGCGCAGCGTAGCGTTTAGCGCCAGCGCTTCCCGCGTTAACGCGCAGCCGGCAGGTCGGCGAAGAGGACAGGTACCTATCTAGCGTTCCTAGCGCCACCAGCGTACGCTGGCGTAACCCTAGCGCACGCCGGCGTACGCTAGCGTACGCCAGCGTAGCGAGGGCACGGGATGTATAGGTATCGATCTAGCGCTACCAGCGTTTCACGAGCGTTTCGCTAGCGCTTGCAGCGGCAGGGCTAAAGAGCGTAGAAGAGTAGGAGAGTACAAGATACTCTCCTGCACTTCAATACTCTCTAGCGTAGTAGAGAGTGTTTTGTACTCTCCTACTCTTCTATACTCTCTAGCCCCGCCGCTGCAAACGCTAGCGAAACGCTAGTGAAACGCTGGAAGCGCTACGCTACGCTGCTGCGCAAAGTATAAACGCACACTATACGTGCTTTTGGCATAGCCTTTAAAGGCTACGTCTGCCTATTCAAGATTAATGAGTTTATTGAGCTCATATAATACGTGATCCAGGAGTGAAGAAAAAAGCAGAAAAGATCATGGAAAATGCCCTGTGTAGAACCCTATGCTGGCCAGGTGGGCGGGGCGGCCGACTCTTCGCTAGCGAACTAGCTATTCTCTAACCTCTTTGAGAAGCAAACTAGTATCTACGGCATCCTATAGGAAGACTATGATGATTTCGGAGAGGGCGCGGGACATCAACTGGGACGCGGGCTGCCTTCAAGGTGGCGAGGTCGTCTTTGAGGTTCTTGATGGACAATCCAAGTCTTTTTCTGCTCCACATTTGAAAACTTTTGGTATTATCGACAGCAGAAGCGTTCGCTCTTACATCAGCGTTTCTTCAATTCTGAGACCGTGAGGATTTTGCATCGTAAGTGATCTTTATAGAAGCTGGAGTGCTCTGGTCGTTTCATCAAGTGCATCATTCGTCCGAGTACTTCAATCTCAGTACAAGCTTACGTGTTCCAGCTATTCAGGTACTAATTATAACGATTTGAAAAATTTTTAGCAACCCAAATAGCTTATAGGAATGGTTTTGCATGTAGATTACAGCTGGGCGCATTCAGAGAAAAGTCCTCATTCTCATGAGGGGGGGGGATGCCTCTTCATTTTTTTAACATGGCGTGGCGAAAGCTTGATTAGCGAGTATTTCAGTTTGAGGCAACTGAAACCTTGTCTTAGTTGGACAAAGAAATGATTATAAATGCCCCAAAATGAAAATGTTCCACCAAAGACGCAGTCGCTGCCCACGTTACAGTGTCAGCCATGCCTTACGCCTATCTCGGGTGTTTGGAGTGCGTCTATTGTCCTTTTCCATATGTTAGCAGCATGAGATAGCTTTGGTTGCTTTTATGCTTCCTTGGAAAGCAACTGGTGTTTAACACCTTTTGAAATGGTCATTATTCGGGTGATCGGCAAGTTCTAAACTAGTTTTTAGATCTCGTACCATATCCCTCCATTATTTACCACAAATCCATTCACGCTATTTGCGCAGTGCTAGAGGCAACTCACTCCTATTCGGCTTTTCAGAGTTCATTTAGGGGTAACGTCGGCTGTCATGTGTGTCCTTATTGATAAATACGAGACGTAGAAAAAAATACAGGTAGGAATAGGATTTTGAAATTTTTACTCCAGTACTTCTTTCGTTACTTATCGTGACCCTGATTAAGGATACTGTGCAAGTGTTTTTCGACATACTGCAAGCCACCGTCATCCCACCGAACATTTTCATCGTTCACCGCTACCTGAACTTGATATATCAATTTTGGATTCACTCGAGCGTAAGTGGTCCGTTATCGCTACGCTTACGTTGTTTTCTGTATTTTGAACAGACGAAGAAAGTGACGCAGCGCTGTGAACTGCTGCGTAGGCAGGATGAAAGTTCTCAGTAGTGGTCAAAGAAATGCTAAACTCACCTCCCAGAACGATCGTTGCCATGTGCGAGGCACATAGGTCAAAAGTAGTAGGGAACACACATGTGTGGCAGTGATATCCGAGTGCTATCTTCACATTTCGCTCGCACACTGCACAGTGTGCAGCACGTGCCTCGATGCCAAGGTCCCGCAACGAAACACGTACTCAGAGTAAGAATCAGAAGGAAGAGAGCGCAGACAGAAGGAGCGTTCGGTTATGCTAGGCGCCTGATTGGCTTGCGGCAGCGCCGGTGTAGTATGGAGACGGCGTCTGGGCATCAATACCCTGCACCTACAATCCCGTGCTTCTCACCGGAGAAAACGGCACGCCATTGCAGTCATGGATCTTTGATCCTGGAACCACGACACACAAGATCTTGTCGTTGAATGTATGAGGAACTATCGGACCCAAATTTTATGATTTATAGCCACATTTCAGGTTATACCTCCCCTCGGTCCACTTGAGTACTTCTTGAACACTCCATCTAGCCACCGAGTCCATCATGGCAGAAATCCTTACTGCATCGACAGGAACTATGGCGGCGTCTTGATTATCTGGGACAGGTAAAACTGTTGCTCACAATACCAAGCTGTTGAACTGTAAAACTTCTGCTCTACCTAGCACTTCCTTTACTATCAATTTAAAAGTTAGTTATCAAGACTTTTCGGCACCTATGAGGCAGAGCGAAAGGACGACAAGGTTGTATATGGTTTGACTACGCCGGTTGAAACCTTCAATCAGCTTTGGTGTCAGGTTATTCCAATACTGTGAATCTTCCCAAGAGGCGGTGGAAATCACTGAATGGCCGCTTTCAGCTATTCTTGTTCAAGGCTCTCGGATATGAAAAAGGACAGATGAGAAACGAGAAGAACGAGGAGGTGTTTCCGGGTGTATGGGGCAAGGTGAGGATGGGACATGTACCGAAGCGAAGTTTTTTTTCTAAAAGAATTAATTCCTTTCTTAGGAGTTATACACAAGGCAATCCGTCAGTAGACTAAGTCTCACTTGCAGGTGAAAGCTGCACTCTGGCCTCCGGCTTACCTACCAGGAATGGAAACAAAATTCTTCTTTTTCTGGTTATGTATGAAGGATAACACTGAGGGCTCACCAGAGGTAAACTCCTCTAAAAGGCTGTACGCTACTTGGCACAGTTTTTCATAGGCCCTTTTAGCAACGAAACAATCCAAATTTTCATACAGATCAAGCGTCCTTATGTCCGCTATGGACCTCCATTGACGGTACTTCTGCGCCTCTACCTGCTTACACAATGGATTCTGCTCGTCACTTGTTTCCTGAAATTTGACCAGATTCGTGTGCTCCTCAGTTGGCCTGAGTTTCTCTGTCGATTTGGCTTTATAATCAGTTACATACAAATGTTCGGATACTACTTTGACCACAGGTTTGCTTTGAATTATAGAGTTTAGGGTAGTGGACAAATATTACAGACTCCATGGCGCTAGTAACATTTTGGAGAACATTTGAAGGACTCCTTGTGGGTTTTTCCAGGCCGGAAAACCTCCAAGGTGTGTAAGCAATTTTAAGTGCGGTGATTCCATTCGGAAGAAGTTGGTCCTAGCTTTGCACAAGAAATCCTTTGAATTCCTCTGATGTTATTAGCGCCGATCTAACTGTTAGAACTCCATGTTCGCCTTTCTTGTAACCTGGGCATTTGGTACTTATAGTTCTAATAACTTCTTTCTTATGCCAAACAGGTTTGTATGGTGGAATACTTTATTTACGCCTGACGTTTCGACAATCTCGTCGTTTTCAAAGGCCTGGAAGCATACCGAAACTTTGGAAACTATCTATCCTATTCAACATGGGCCCGCTCTTAACTAGTTGCAAATCAGACCAAGGAACTAAAGGAACGAAGGAAACTCCAGCAATAAGTTACCTCGTCACTTCCACCAGCGCCGAACTGCTCACTTTTGTCACACAATGGAGCAAATGAGACTCACTGCTATGCACTTCATAGTGTGATAAAGTGCGTACGTGCAGTGCATTACGATCTCACTGTTAAAGCCCGCAAAGTGGGATGTAGGGCAAGAATTCGGCAGTCACTGAATGCACTTCTTCCTATTGTTTCATACGTGTGTGATTACGGTGCTTTTATCTCAGAAAGCTCGAGAGTTGTTCCTTAGCACAAATCATTTTCGCGAGCCAGTGATCGTAATTTGTATATCAAATTCACAGCCGCATGATTTCCTCCTATGTGTGCGGCGGCTGCAAGTAAAACTTTTCGCGTCTTTTGCTACCAGGTGTTCTTTTACGCGTATACATAATTGCCTCCCCGTTTCACCGATATATAATGCACCACAGGTCAAACACTGTATCTGGTAAAATGCCTATGTGTACATGCACACATTTTCCATATGGGGACAGACCACGCAGTTTTCCATGGTGCACGTCCGGTCATAGAGGCGATTTCTGACCAACTGTTGTTTGATATTGTCTTTTGGTTTATTTACTAAAAGAACATCGTTGGCCAGATCAGCCCTACGGATGCACTGCTGTATAAATAGCTGATCTCAAGGGTTAGTTTGCACCGGCACGAGGATGCGGAAGAAATCCAGGAGATTACGCACGTCAGAATAGCTATGATCTCATACGATTACAACAGCCTGGCGCGAGCAGCGGCGGCACGCGAAGTCACCGAGAGTTTTCCGCACACAGAAGGCGGTGTCGAATAAATTGCCGTTTTCAGCTCCTTTCATATCGGACAGCTTTTATCGCCGTTATACGAGCAGGCATCCGTAGGGGCTTGATCGACAACGCGTTCTTTTAGAATAAACAAATAGAAAGAATCAAGACACCGAGGTTGGCAGAATCGCCTCTATGACCGGATTGCACCATGGGGAATAACTCCTGGTCGGTCCATGTGGAAAATAAGTGGGGTGACGTTAACACAAGTGCGGCGTAATTTACCAGATACAGTGTTTGACCTGTGGTGCATTATATATCGGTGAAACTGGGAGGCAATTATGTATACGCGTAAAAGAACACCTGGTAGCAAAAGACGCGAAAGTTTATTAGCCACCGGCTCGGCAAACATAGCGAAGGGAAATCATGGGGCTGTAGTTTTGATACCAAAATTTACGATACTTGGCCTCGGAAAATGATTGTTGGTGTGCTAGGGAAAAACTCTCGAGGCTTTCTGGATAAAGCACCGTAATCCATCTATGAACAACAGGAATGAATGCATCTCAGTGACTGCCGATTTCTTGCCCTACATCCCACTTTGCGGGCTTAACAGTAGAGATTTCGTAATGGCACGTGCACTGTAACATTTATCACCTATGCAGTGCATGAGCATGTGATCGTCATTTTGCGTCCCTATTGTGGGACAAAAAGTAGAGCCAGTCGTGCGCTGGTGGAATGCTGCAGGTGCTAACTTTTTGCTGAAAATTTCCTTCTCCTTTAGTTCCTTGGTCTGATTTGCAACTAGTTAAGAGCGGGCCCATGTTGAATAGGATAGATAGTTTCCAAAGTTTCGGTATGCTTCCAGGCCTTTGAAAACGACGAGATTGTCGAAACGTCAGGCGTAAATAAAGCATTCCACCATACAAACCTGTTTGGCATAAGAAAGAAGTTATTAGAACTGTTAGAACGATTACTGTTAAAATTGTTTGAGCCAACAATCATTTTAGTCGCTTTTCACTGGTCTTCGACTCAATACGGTTGCTCCTATCAATATTACTTGGAATCATCCTGAACGACTCACAGATGACCGCCTATGGTTTGGCCTCGTCGGCAGCTGTTTTGGTTCTTGCATCAGCGGGTCAAATATGTGTATCATGCGACCGTATGAACAAAAAGTGCTTTGTTTGATTCGCTCTGTACTGTCCCTGTTTCAACGTTGTTAGTCCACAGTTTCAAGTGCAGCACCTGTGCACCGTTGTTGGAGAACATGTCGAAAGGATGATTATTGCTCGTAGAGATAGATGTTCAAATGGATTTCATGCTCTAAACATTCTTCAGGCGAACGAGACGAGCTTAGAAAGATGCTCTTGAACTGGTCAATCTAGTTCCCTCTAATGCGTCAAATAGTGGTGAATTTCTGTCTTTGTAAAACTTTTTTGTTGTATGTTTTCTTGTGTGTTGACGAGGTTATTAGGTGGAACAAATTTGCTAACGCACTCATGTTAAAGCGTTCAGAAGCCCTGTACACCAAGAGCTGAGTGTCGTATTCTTGTTAGTAGTTACTACGTTGAGTCTTTCAGTTCTTTATTCATCACCAAACGAGAAGCGAAATGAAGTTCTGGAGTAGAGAATTTTTACAATGTTGCTCAAGTACACAATTAAAGGCAGTTGGCACGATAAATCGCTATACAGGTGTAGGATTTGTACAACTGGCTTAACAGAATTCCGTGACCTCGGACAGGCGCTGCGTGAAGCCTTTTCCAAGGAGGGTACCTCTATAACGCCCTATTGAGCAACAACTTTACGTCCCAAACGCCTTCCTTGCCCGCCCGCCCACAAACGGACGACCGTTTCTGACGCTCGTATTCATTCATTTGCTGAGCAAATTATGAAGCAAAGGGATTGGTATGAAGCGGCGGTGATGCTGCATGCATATATGGGTACAAATATGCAGCGTATCTTCGGTAGCGGTGATTGGCAAGATGCGTACGGGAAACTCGTCCGAAATCGATTTACAAGTCACTGAGAACGGAGGCTTTTTCTTCGCCGGATTTTGACCGTTTCACTCCGTTCTTTCGCCATTTCCCCACCACTATACAGCGCCCTACTAGCATTTTAGGCTAAGCAGGAAACCATGGTGCCAACTGCCTTTAAAGAAGTTTACTGATTATGTCTCCGGCTTGAGCCACTCTTCGGATGAACTGAAAACTGAAGCGAATTGCAATACAGAGATGACAATTTGGCAGAGTAGGTTTTTCCCCCTATTCACCAAACGCCGACAGAGACTGCAAAATTTAAGAGTAGCAGTTGAGCCTTTCTGACTCAGCGTTGTTTAATTTGTAGTCGTGAAACGTGCAGTGCTTCATATTACTAAACTCGCAGTTTTGTTATGATAACTGCTGTTTAACGCCGCAGTACGCGTTCCGAATGTTATCACAAGAATGCTGAGTTGTGGGCAAAAGTCGTGCCCCAGGCGGGAGTCGAACCCGCACCTCACGCTTTCCGGGCGAGTGCGCTATCCGTTACGCGGAAAGCGTGAGGTGCGGGTTCGACTCCCGCCTGGGGCACGACTTTTGCCCATAACTCAGCATTCTTGTGATCACAGTCTTATGTTGAAATGAAGTCGGGATATATGAACATGCATTTATACTTGTTACTAATATTTGGTTTGGTGCTCTAGAACTACCTCAAGAAGAGCTGTACGCTCACCTTCAGTGATCCTATACGTTTCGTTGCCTGGGTGAGGTGGACAGGTCCGCAGCTGTGAAAGAACGCCATTTTCTTCACCTCGAAGTGCGCCGCGATGAAACTAGGGGGTTGCGATTGCTGAATGCCATTTGGATCTTACCCACTATCCACATTGGGCGGCAGCGCGACGATACCGAGATCCTATAGCGAAAATGTTGGCAAGCAGCCGAAAACACGCAGCCAAAGGTAGAGAACAACTACAGGCAAGAACGCGCAAATAAGTAGCGTGCATGGCTATGGACAGACGTGAGCCTCGCTGTGCGGCGTGTTGCGTCTGCTTCTTTGCCTGTGGGTGGGGTCAGACCATGAGCCGGCATGGTCATTGCTATCCTCTAGCTTTATTTCGGCGCATTTCCGAGCGATGGCACACTTCTATAGTTGCGGGGCCACTTGGTGTACGGCAAGGATCAAGTTCTTCAAGCCAGAAAAAACTACCCAAAGATATCTGGCCATACGCTTGGGTGAGCCTATCTTTGGGTGGTTTTTCTGGCTCCGATAGAAGTTTCATAGGCTAGTGTAGTATAGTTACGGGTAAGGCCACGAGAGCAGTGCTCTTCTTCTTCTCTGTGTTTTGTATGTGCCTGAAACAATTGGGCTTCACTAACCTGAACCTTTCAACTTACTTTGATGCTTATACTCTTTACTTTTACCAAAATATATGTCATTATGCTGACTGTACACCATGCTGGGTGTTAATAGCACCCTGAGAGCACCATGTTTCCAATCTTTTTGAATCCATATACCTACCCCATATATTGCGCAGTTCTTCACAACACAGGAGCGTAGGACTTGTTTTTAAACAGCAGCAGTTTCTTTTGGTGTAGTTACCAAGGAGGCTTCACTCAGAGTTGCCGTAGTTGAGCAGCTTCGTATTACTGCATCTCAAATATGCGCTGAGGCTATAACTTACCCGATGGCTTAAAATGAGCACTATATCACTTGAGTCAAAAATGGTTCAATAAAAGTGATTTGCTTTGTGGAGGTGTATTGACAGATGTTGATACCAAGGAGAAAGGGGTTTGAGAAGTAATTTGTC